TATGATTGGGAATTTGAGAGCTACGCTTGTAGTGTGTATTGTCTCAAGAATAAGTGTCTTTCTTATCCATCTTGTAGGAGCCACTATATATAGCCTCCATAATACCTCTAAGAGCCTCCTTTAAGGCGCACTCTTGGAGTTCCTCACATTATCATTGCCTTGAAACGTTTTCCCCCAGCCATCATTGATGCACTTAACTCAAGGTAATGGCTGATGATTGTAGTTGGTGATCATTTCTAGAGTTACGGACGGGTCCTCAGGATGTCTCTTTGTATCCTGCTGGGTCGTGTCCTGGAGAGCATTATCTAGATGTAGGTACCCGGAGATAGGACACGGCCTAGCCTCTGGTCCCAAGGACAATAATCAAATGTACGCACGTATCCACTCATTATTGCCTTCTCACCATCCTTCTTAATCCCACTATAGGTCCCGACCTGACATATTTATTCTGGGATGTACATGTGGTATTCTTAATGAGGAGATGAGACGGAAGACACGAGGTTCTTCATCTCAATCCGAGGTACTTGTCACTAAAAATAGGGGTATAAGTCATAAAAAGGAACCGAAGGGTGGTAGAGAGAATAGTAGAAACAAGTCCAAACAACAATACAAGAATTTGGAGTGTCATTATTGTCACAAATCAGGACACACACAGGTATTATTATCAGTGGAAAAAGTATAACAAAGGCAATAAAGGTAAGTCTAAAAAAATAGATCATGAAGATCATGATGATGATCGTGTTACTACTATTACTTGTAATGATCTTATTATTCTACGTGATCATGATTCTGTTAATCTCGTATCAGACGAGAGCATGTGGATAGTTGACAGTGGTGCTACATTGCATGTTACACCAAGGAAGGATTTCTTCACATGTTATACTTCTGGTGATTTTGGAGTGTTGAAGATGGGTAATGATGGTGTATCTAAGGTAATTGGTGGTGGTGATGTTTTCTTGCAAACCGACATGAGAAAGCAATTGTTGCTTAGAGGTGTCAAACATGCTCCGAATGTCCGCTTTAATTTGATCTCTGTGCATATGCTTGATGATTGTGGTTATGACAATCACTTTGGTTATGGAAAGTGGAAACTCAACAAAGGTAATTTGGTTGTGGCTAGAGGGGAAAAGCTTTCTAAATTGTATTGGAAAAAATATTTTGGTTTCTAGGAACAGTGTGAATGCTATCGACATGGAAGCATCTTTGTGACACCAAAGGCTTATTCATATTAGTGAAAAGGGGTTGAATGTTTTAGCCAAAAAGGATGTTCTTCCTGGTTTAAAAAATGCATATTTGGAGAAGTGTTCTCATTGCATGGCTGGTAAACAGACTAGAGTATCTTTCAAGAGACATCTTTCCTCAAGGAAGTCAAAGTTGCTTCAATTGGTACATTCTAATGTTTGTGGGTCATTAATGGTAAAGTCTTTTAGTGGTGCACTTTATTTTGTTACCTTTATTGATGATTGTTTCAGTAAACTATGAGTTTATACCGTGAAGACAAAAGACCAAGTGTTGGAGAAGTTCAAAGAATTCCATGCTTCAGTAGAAAGGAAAACACGCGAGAAGCTGAAATGTGTTCGTTCAGATAATGGTGTTGAATATTGTGGACCCTTTGATTCCTATTGCAAGCAACACAATATTGCACATGAAAAGACTCCTCCCAAAACTCCTCAATTGAATGGTTTAGCAGAGAGGATGAATCAAACACTAATTGAGAGAGTAAGGTGTATGCTCTCTGAAGCTAAGTTACCAAATCATTATTGGGGTGAGGAAATTTACACGATGGTGCATGTTCTTAGTCTTACTCCTACTGTTGCTTTGAATAATGAAGTTCCAGAAAATAATTGGTTTGGAAAGAATTTCAAGTATGATCATTTTAGAGTTTTTGGTTGTAAGGCTTTTTTGTGCATATTCTAAAGGATGAAAGATCCAAGTTGGATGAAAAGTCAAAACGATATATAATCATAATCTAGATCTATTGGTGGTGATGATCATAATGGTGATCCATATGATTATGTTGATGACCAACAACTTAGTGATGAGGTAAATATTCTAACTAATGATGATGATGAAAGGGAAATGATATGACTCGGGATGAGAATCTTGGTGAAGCTCCAGAATCATCTAAAGTTCAAGTTCAGAGGTATATCAGGCAGAGGCAACCTTCTACAATGTATAATTCCCATGAGTATGTGACCTTGACTGATGAGGGTGAACCTGAGTGTTTTCAAGAGGCCATAGAAAGTGATGAAAATAAAAATTTGTTGGATGAAATGCATGACGAAATGAAATCATTGCATGAATCACACTATGATTTTGTGAAGTTACCTAAAGGTAAAAGGGCTTTGGAAAACATGTAGATTTATAGAGTGAAACATAAGAGCAACTCTAAGTCTCCAAGATATAAAGCTAGATTAGTGGTGAAAGGGTGTTAATTTTAATGAGATTTTCTCACCCGTTGTAAAAATTTCATCAATCAGAACTATGTTGAGTTTAGATGCTACTATTGATTTAGAGTTTGAGCAAATGGATGTGATTTAGAGCAAGAGATCTACATGAAAAAACCCAATGATTTTTAAGTTAAAGGCAAAGAAGACCATGGTTGTAGATTGAAAAAGAGTCTATATGGGTTGAAGCAAGCTCCAAGGCAATGGTACAAGAAGTTTGAGTCTATTATGTGTGATCAAGGATACAAGAAGACTACTTCAGATCATTGCATATTTGTTAGAAAATTTTCTAACGATGACTTTATTATTTTGTTGTTATATGTCGATGACATGCTTATTGTAGGAAAAAATATTTCTAACATTAACATGTTAAAGAAGCAGTTGGGAGAGTCATTTTCCATGAAATTCATGGGGAAGCTAAAAAAATTCTTGGCATTAGAATCATGTGTGATAGAAAAAAGAAGAAACTTTGGATGTCTTAAGAACATTATATCGAAAAAGTGTTGCAAAGATTCAAATTGGAAAACTCTAAGGCGGTAAGCACTCCTCTTGTTACTCATTTCAAATTGAGTTCTAGTCAAAATACTTCAAGTGAATGAAGCGTTTGATATGAAATATATTCCTTATGCGTCTGTTGTAGGTAGTTTGATGTATGCAATGGTATGTACAAGATCAGATATAGCACATGTTGTTGGTACAGTCAGTAGATTTTTGTCAAATCCAGGTAGAGAGTATTGGAATGATGTAAAATGGATTTTAAGGTATCTTCACGATACTACTTCTATGAGGCTTTTCTTTGGAAGAGATAAGCCTACTCTAGTAGGATACTCTGACTCTGATATGGCTGGAGACGTTGATTTCAAAAATCCCACTTCGGAATACATGATTAAATTTGCAAGGGGAGTTGTGCCTTGGCAGTCCAGATTGCAAAAATGTGTAGCATTATTTACTACAAAAGCTGAGTTTATTGCTATTACTGAAACACACAAAGAGTTACTATGGTTGAAGAAATTTTTGCAGGAGCTTGGTTTTGTTCAAGACAAATATGTGTTATTTTTTTATAGTCAAAGCGCTATTCATCTTGGTAAGAATTCGAATTTTCATAATAGGTCCAAACACACTGATATATCATTGGATACATGATATTTTGGATGCTAAGTTGTTGGAGTTAGCTAAGGTTCATACAGATGATAATATTTCTGATATGATGACTAAAGCATTACCAAGAGGAAAATTTGAAGCATGTTGTGATATCTCCAGTTTGGCGATTTCCTCCACATAGTTGTGAGTGGGAGATTTGTTGGACTTGAGTTCCGTTCCTATGTGGAGAAAGGCCCAAATATGAATAGCCTATTTATCTCACTTATATAAGTGGATAGTGTCAATTTAGAGTTAAGAGAGATAGAGAAAAATAAGGATACAAAAAGAGAGAAAAGAGGAGAGAAACTCATTCCCGTTTTTTCTGTAGCAATCTCACTAAAATGACGATCCCCGATTTGTTCATCGTCGGATCGAGGTGAAATTTGATGGGCTTATTTGCAACACATATATCTAACTTCCGATCGTTGGGATCTTCAAAAAAAAGTCTGAGTTGAGAGATATGACCTTCGCATTGAAGCTGCAGATTTGAGAAAAATTTCAATTTTTTATTCTTATTAAACGTTTGGTTGTGCGATGCATGGATATATTTTTATTAAATTATTATTAATAATTAAGTATACTTAAAAATAATTTAAAATATTATGATATTAAATGTTTTTATATTGATTGTGTTTTTTTAGAAAAAAAAATAAACAACAACCTTATAATATATATTTATGAAAAACAATTTTTTTCAATATAATTAAAATAAACAATGAGTATAAAATACTCAAATTTGCATAAAGGAAAAAAAATAGTATCCGAATTATATATTGGTATAGATATAAAAGTTGTATGTACTAATCTATTTTTATACAATTAGCAAATTAAATATTATCATTATTTTAATTATAAAATTAAAAACCTATTTTTGGAGATTCTTAAATGAAATCAGTGGCGGAGCCAGCGTCCGGCCAGGTAGGGCAGCTGCCCAGGCTCCACCCGACCATGCTTCACCATCTCGCGATGGAGATCTTCTATGGCCATCTTCCGACACACCATACCGTAAACAGATACACACCGCAACACCACTCTTACCTTTCCAGTTTCCGTTCAATCAATTATCGGTGAGCATCACCTTCCTCCGCCGATTCTTTCTTCTTCTTGCTTCTGTTTCAATTCATATCTCCTACATCATTGTTGTTGTTTTGTTATTTGTTGTTGTTGTTGTTGCAGGTTGTGGTGTTGAATTTTTTGTTTCGTGCTATGTCCACCAAGTGTTCGGTAAAATTTTTGAACGAATATTTTTCTTATTGGGCATCCTAGAATCCAATCCAGAGAGGCAATAATGTAATGAGCCTTACACACCTATTATTACAATACTTTCATAAGTTAGGTGGCAATGGTCCTCCTTTCCATCTTACAGTACTGTCTGAAAACAATAGCGAAGAAAAGGCAGAGACTCATTCTGAAATGGAACTGAAACGCTATTTGTTGGAAAGTATTCCATTTGCAGCAATGGTGATTGTATAGATTCTTGATGTTGGGTTGACCACATTGAGCAAAGCAGCCATGTCCACAAGAGGAATTAATCACTTTATCTTTGTTCTTTACTCCAATGCTCTTGCCACTTCCATTCTCCTCCCTTCTTCTTTCCTCACCAATAGGACAACAAGACCGCCACTGTCTTTCTCACTTCTTGTCAAATTCTTCCTCCTCGGCCTGGTCGGGTATGTTTACATTAGTTGTATTGTTCAAAGTGAGTTTCGTCGTATTTATTGAAATTGCGATCAGATATGGCTGCCACAATTGCGGTGGTGGATTGTTTTATAAATTATATTCCTTTGAGATTAAAAAAGTATTGAATGTAAATGAAGAATCCTGATGATTGGAGATTTGCAGCATCACTATAATGCAGAATTGTGTATTCACTGGCATAAGCTACAGCTCTCCCACCCTTGAATCTGCTATGAGCAACTTGACTCCAGCAATCACTTTTGTTCTAGCTGTCATTTTCAGGTAATGTGCTTCTTGTTTAGAGGTTCTTATGCAAACTTGTAACTATGCATAATAATTGTAGGATGGAAAAGTTGGATGTTGGAAGTTCAATAAGCCAGATCAAAATGGTGGGGACAATACTGTCTATCTCAGGAGCATTGCTAGTGACCCTTTACAAAGGCGCTCCCATTTGCAGCTTTCAAACTCAACCCTCAGCATCGCAAGAATTTCAGTCTCTATTAGAAGAAACCAGCAACTGGGTCATTGGAGGTCTCTTTCTATTCACTGCCTCTTTATCTCTTTCCATATGGAATATTGCTTAGGTGAGATATCTAGTATGTATTTAGAGAAATCAATGGGCACAAAGATATTTGATTCTAATGATCGTATATTTGCAGGCAGCAATTCTTAGAGGATATCCATCTCAGTTGACCATAGTGGCCTTCTATTGCCTGTTTGGGACAATGCAATGTGCAGTACTTTCTCTAATTGCAGTCAAAGATCAAAATGCTTGGAAGCACGAAAGCGATGCCACATGGTTTTCCAGAGGAACTATTGAAAGGTATGGCTTGTTATCATAATTTTTTATTTATTGATAACTTAGATTGGCATATCTTGGAATCATTATTGTTAAATAGCAGTTATAGCTATTGTACTATAGTGTAGTGGAATTTGATCACATCCCTATTATTTTTTGTTATGCTACTTAGTATAATGTGTTCTCAAATAGTGGCTCTACAACATTGTAGCATACCGGAATTTTAACAAACCACCACTTTGCCGATCTGCATTTGACAACATTATTTGAAATTTGAATTGATAGCTGTGTTTTTAGGCAGTACTTAATTTCACACAAATGAGCGTGTTGAACTAATTTTCTCGGCTTTTATAGATTTGTTCATTTTGTGAGCACACCTGAAATACTGTAACATGTATATATTATAGAATCCGGAATTTTAACATGTATATATTATAAAATCCGAAATCTTACAAATTGAAGAGGTAATTGCAATTCAAGGAAATAATTCCTTTGGGATTAGCATTGTACTATCTTGGTAGAAAATTATGAAGCCAATGAAAACTTGCCCAGGCTTCATAATTTTCCTGGCTCCGCCACTGTTTGCAGCATCACTATAATGCAGAATTGTGTATTCACTGGCATAAGCTACAGCTCTCCCACCCTTGGATCTGCTATGAGCAACTTGACTCCAGCAATCACTTTTGTTCTAGCTGTCATTTTCAGGTAATGTGCTTCTTGTTTAGAGGTTCTTATGCAAACTTGTAACTATGCATAATAATTGTAGGATGGAAAAGTTGGATGTTGGAAGTTCAATAAGCCAGATCAAAATGGTGGGGACAGTACTGTCTATCTCAGGAGCATTGCTAGTGACCCTTTACAAAGGCGCTCCCATTTGCAGCTTTCAAACTCAACCCTCGGCATCGCAAGAATTTCAGTCTCTATTAGAAGAAACCAGCAACTGGGTCATTGGAGGTCTCTTTCTATTCACTGCCTCTTTATCTCTTTCCATATGGAATATTGCTCAGGTGAGATATCTAGAATGTATTTAGAGAAATCAATGGGCGCAAAGATATTTGATTCTAATGATCTTATATTTGCAGGCAGCAATTCTTAGAGGATATCCATCTCAGTTGACCATAGTGGCCTTCTATTGCCTGTTTGGAACAATGCAATGTGCAGTACTTTCTCTAATTGCAGTCAAAGATCGAAATGCTTGGAAGCACGAAAGCGATGTCACATGGTTTTCCAGAGGAACTATTGAAAGGTATGGCTTGTTATCATAATTTTTTATTTGTTGATAACTTAGATTGGCATATCTTGGAATCATTGTTGTTAAATAGCAGTTATAGCTATTGTACTATAGTGTAGCGGAATTTGATCACATCCCTATTGTTTTTTGTTATGCTACTTAGTATAATGTGTTCTCAAATAGTGGCTCTACAACATTGTAGCATACCTGAATTTTAACAAACCACCACTTCGCCGATCTGCATTTGACAACATTATTTGAAATTTGAATTGATAGCGGTGTTTTTAGGCAATACTTAATTTCACACAAATGAGCGTGTTGAACTATTTTTCTCGGCTTTTATAGGTTTATTCATTTTGTGAGCACACCTGAAATACTGTAACATGTATATATTATAGAATCTGGAATTTTAACATGTATATATTATAAAATCCGAAATCTTACAAATTGAAGAGGTAATTGCAATTCAAGGAAATAATTCCTTTGGGATTAGCATTGTACTGTCTTGGTAGAAAATTATGAAGCCAATGAAAACTTGCCCAGGCTTCATAATTTTCTTGGCTCCGCCACTGAATGAAATAATTTGGTTGATGTGTATTTTCTTTTCTTTTTGAGCGTTTAGCCCTCTCTTTTATAAAATAAAATAAAAATTTAATTTAATTTTTATTATTAAATATTATTGTTTAAAGAAATATTTTGATTACTATTTTGATATAAATACCAATATCGCTCAAAGTATTTATTTTTAAATAACTAAATATGGTTTGAATTTAAAATAATTGATTTAGAGATAATATAAGATATTTAAAACTTGTAAAAAATATGAACATCATAAAAAATCAAATGAATGTAATTAATTTTTAAAAAAAATAAATAAGGCTTGCAATAATTAAAATACTTTTTTCTTGTTTAAATTGAGAAATAGAATTATCATATGTATATAAATTTTTTATACCTGTTTCATAAAAAAAAAATAGAAAGACAATAATATTTATACACAGTTCATAATAATTAGACAAACAACTATATAGGAGATTTGCAATGTTAATACATTTTTAAATATAAGTAAAATCACTTACATATTGACTAAATAAATATATAACATATTTAACTATAAAAAATTAGATAAAATTATAAATTATCAAAAACATGTAAACTAACAAACAGTTAATAAAAAAGAAGTTAAAAAAATTTAACAATATAATAATTTGATAAAATAGAAAAAGTTCAGCAAAATAATTGAAAGTATTATAATTTCATGAAATTTATGGTATGTTGATTCCATGGATTCCATAAAATTATGATAAATAGAAGAAGAAAATTTGAAGAATATAAACAAATAATAGAAGAAGAAAATTTGAATAATATGATAAATAGATAAAATAGAAATTTTCAAAAATGGTAAAATATCTTAATCTCATGTAAAAATTCTTCATCCAAAACTTTAATTTCATACAGAAATCTTTCACCCATAGCATGTTGATTCCTAATAAAAAATATAAACAAATGATAGAAGAAGAAAAATTAAATAATATATTAAATTGATAATTTAGAGAAATCAAAAATGTAAAAATACTTTATGTTTATTCTAAAATTCTTCATGCATGGTGAAGAGGGTAATAAATAATTGAGAAAGCCTTCATCCGTAGCATGCATAATAGAAGGGAAAAATTGAATAATATGATAAATTGATAAACTAGAAAAATTCAAAAATGTTAAAATACCTTAATATCTCATGTAGAAATTCTTCATCCATGACATGATAATTCCTAATACAACACCTTAATTTTATGTAGATGGAAAGTTTGAAAAGAAAGTGGATGAATTGTAATATTCCACTAATGAGTAATTGTATAAAAATCTTTTGATTTATTATAATTAATTAAATTAGTTTTTATTAATAACAATTTTAATATATAAGATTAATATTAAAAAAATAGTGGTAGAGGTGGTTGGTATAAAACTGGTTTATTAACTTAGCAAATTAAAATTTTAAAAATTAAATAAAACATATCAAACTTTAAATTATTAAGTCCACGCAATATTTCCCCTACACCTCTTCAAATCTTTTTTATTAGTAACAACTTTAATATAAAATAATAAAAAATAGTGGTAGAGGTGGTTGGCATAAAACTATTTAATAACTTCACAAATTAAATTTAAAAAATTAAATAAGAGCAAATTTTAGAAAAATATAGACTTACGTCATCATACTTTAAGTTATTAATGCATAAGGCTATATAGGAAGACATAACTTCTCCTCTCCAATCAATTAAATAATAATAATAATAATAATAATAATAATAATAATAATAATAATAATAATAATAATAATAATAATTATTATTATTATTATTATTATTATTATTATTATTATTATTATTATTATTATTATTATTATTATTATTATTATTATTATTATTCAATTTTAGAACCAACAAAAAAAATAAATATAATAAATAAATAAATAAAATGTTACAAAAATATCTTTAATTTTGACTTTAAAAATTATTAAGAGACTTAAAAGCTTTAATATATAAAATTCAATTTTAGAACCAACAAAAAATAAATATAATAAATAAATAAAAAGAAGTTATAAAAATATCTCAGTTTTGGCTCTAAAAATTGTTAAGAGACTTAACAACTTTAGTATATAAGATTTATAAATTAGTTTGTTTTGTGATTTGCGGCTGTTATCGTTATTTTGTGAATCACTTTAAGACTCTTGTAATCTCAATTGATTATAGTGGAGCTATTTTTTTGTCTGGACGACTCGTGGTTTTTACTCTCACATTAAGAGGTTTTCCACATTAAAAATATCAGTGTTCTTTTTGTGTCTTTATTGTTCGGTTGTCGTCTTATATTTGTTGTTGATCCTCAAAGTTTCTACAAGTTTGAGAAATATAATATTCGCTGCATATTGTTCTGTTATTTTGTCTTAATTTTCCATCACGAACGAATTTTCAGAATTTTCTTTTGAGTTATGTTGATATAAAAAAACACTTATAATCAAAGTGATTATAAGCTAATCAACAACTAAATCAAAACAAAAATAGCCACAGAAGAATTCTTACGAGTCGACCGATCAATTGATGCTATTTAACAAATTGCTTAATTAAAAGTAAAGTAAGTAAAAAGATAAGAGAGAGTGACACGAGGATTTGTTTAGGAACTTCACCAATCATCCTCGATATGGCTACGTCTTCCCCAAATTCTGTTGGAATTGGGATAAATTTCTTATTATGCAAAAAGTTGATTGCAAAAGAAGTGTTCTAAGAGCAACCCCACAAATAGGTGTTGATTTAGCCTAAGACTTGTACACAACACTTATCATAAGCTATTTATTCATCCTTAGTGGTAGAAAGAGCAAGATCGTGTTGCTTATTACTATGCCAAGAAACTAAATAGTTTCCAAACAAATGACAAGTACCATAAGTACTCTTCATATGTAATTTACAAACAATAAAGTCAGAATTGAAGAATCCTAATAAGCTACACTTATCTCCCTTGGGAAACCAAATATCGTGATGCAAGGTCCCGTTAAGATGCTTCAAAATTCTTTTAATAATATTAAAATGGGATTCCTTGGGTGACACTTGAAATGAAACGCACAGGCATATGCTAAACATAACATTTAGCCGAATTAGGGTTAAATAGAGTAAAGATCATATGATAACTCTTTATTTTGTGATGTAAATCTATACATTTAGCCTTGTTCATATTTATCGGTATACAAATAGATATGTTTTTGAATCTTTCAAACCATATTTCTTTAAAAGCTCAACACAATACTTTGTTTAGATGATGAACATGCTAGCTTATGTTTTCTCTATATGCAATACTAAGAAGTAACATAGCTCTCTCATAAATGACATCTTGAATTGCCCTGCTTCATTCTAGAATATTATTTGCAAAGATATTCATCAGTGAATCCAAATATAATATCATAAATATAAATTTGAACTAACAAGATATGCTTTTCTTTATGCATTATAAACAAAGTAGTATCTACCTTACCAATATTAAATCCTTACTTAATCAAAAATCCACTAAAGCACTAAAACTAAGCTCTATGAGCTTGTTTGACACGATAGAATGCTCGTTTAAGTTTTAAAACTAAATCACGATTTTCATTATCCTCAAAACCAGAAGGTTTCAAAATGTAAACTTTTTCATTTATAAATATGTTAAGGAAAGTTGGCTTAATATTATTATGATACATCTTAAAATACAAGCAATAGGAAAATGTCCAAAGAAGTCGAATCTCCTAAAGACGGGCTACATGAGCATAAGTCTCCTAATAGTCAATCCCTTCAGCTTGACTATGAACTTTTTCCAATAGCCTATATTTATTTCTAATAGTTATTCCATTTTTATCCATCTTGTTCCTAAACACCTATCTTGTTCCAATGACAGTTTTATCTTTAGGATGTGGAACAAGATCCCAAATATAGTCACATTTAAATTGATTGAGATCTTGTTGAATTGCAAGGGTTCATCCTTCGTCAATTAAAGCACAATATTTTTTTTAGGTTCAATCTTGGAAACAATTGCATGATACTTACTGAAATTATTAACTTCAGATCTAGTACTTACGTCCTTTCTGACATGTCCAAGTATGTAATGTTAATGGTGGTCCTTTGCAACAATCCACTATTGAGGAATTTAAGTTTATGTCTCTGGTTTTTCTTTCTCCTATTCGATATTCTATTTATAATTCTCAATGTCCTCATCTTTTGGAGGATCCTCTTTGGAAGTGTCATTTGTGACTAATTCTTTTGTTGTTATACTTAAAATATCAAAACTAAAAAAAAATTGCCTTTCCCTATCTTTTGGGGCTTGGTTTCATCAAAAGAAACATGAAATGAATCTTCAAAAACATATGTTCTATTGTTGAAAACTCTCTATGCCTTACTCGATAATGAGTATCCTAGAAAAATTCCTTCATCGGGCTTTGCATCAAATTTAACAAGTGTATCCTTATCTTTATTTAAAATAAATAATTTGCAAACGAAAACACAAAAGTATGAAATG